TTCCCAGCTTCATTTATCTCCCACCACCACACCGGCTCCTGGGAGCGGGCGCGCGCGCCGACGACGACGACGCGGGGTCGCTCAAGCTCGAATTAATAAAAGTCTAATTTTTCATGTCGCTCTTGCAGTCCGGCCGGCGAGCAGGAAAGGGCGGAGCGAAGCGGAGCCGGCTGAATAATAAACGAGCAATTAGTCGCGACACACGGCCGGACAGGGCTCGGGGGAGGAGCCGAGGGGCGTTCGGGCCGCCCCGGGGAGGATGCGAGTGCATCGGGGAGGAGCCGAAGGGTGTGTTTGGCCAGCCCCGGGGAGGATGCGAGTGCATCGGAGGTATAGGACCCGAGGACGGCATCGGGGCTGGTGCGGATCAAGGTCCGGCTTGCAAGGAGGGCACTATATAACACACACAAAAAAGATCTCCAACAAAATCTCCAATTTAAATTTTGACAAAGATACTGTACGCAGAAAATGGTTTCTTTGGTTCAAAGAAATTTCGACCTTAATTGATGATACGGAATTTTTTTTGAAGTTAAGTAGTGTTTTCTTTATCCTGAAACATTTCCTCAAAGAACTAGCAAGCGTTTTCTGGAAGTGGGAGAACACAATAATGAACATTATTGTGTCGAGCTGTGCTGTGCCGCATTTGAAATGTGCCATGATGCCGGGTTTTAGCGCCTTGCCCTTACAAAAGTCCATTAAAACTTTGTCGAAGGCACCAATTTTCGGCACCTTTTGTTGTCGTGGAGCAGCAAAAGGGGGCGGGGGAGGAGGAAGGGGAGTGGACCAGGGTGGACAACAGGAGCGCCGAGCACCGCACTACTCGCTGCCGCCGCCGGACCGCGCTTGTCAGCGGCTCCTAAGGGTTTGGTCATTTGGCAGCTTTCCCACCCCACCCCTAAGGATCGTTAAGGGCTGCTGCCTTGCTCCTGCGGTCCCCACAGCCTCCCCGAGCACCTGTTCGAGACGCCCCGCCCGCTGCGGTGGTGCTGTGTACCGCGCCAAAAGACATAAATAAAAGATCAGAAATAAAGAGTCAAATCGCGGCGGAGAGAAAGAGAGGGGGGCTTCCCGCGGCAGCACGTCCAAACAGCGGAGCCCTCTCTCCGAGCAAACACCGCGGAAGCACAAAAAGAGTCTCCTGTGGGGTTTTGCCTCTCTCCCACCGCCTTTCTTCTGTCACCCGCGCGAACCGCATCTCCTGCGCGCGCGCCATCCCCTGCACCCCCCGCAAGGAAAACATATCGAACCGCCCCGCCCCGCCCCGCCAACGCCACGCCACGGCACGCCACGCCGCGGGCGGTGGGCAGCTCGGCACGGCCGAGCGGGAAGGAGAGAGAGCCAGAGCCTCGGCCGAGCCATCAAACGCTGCTGGCTGTCTGCGGAGCGAGGAAAAATAATGAACCTCTTGAAGGTCCTTTTCCTTCCCGGCCAGTTTGCTCACTAAACACGGCCTTCGCGGAGTGCGCGGTGGCGGAGGGGGGG